AGAATTTAAGCCTTACCGTTTTATCCCAGGACTCTTCCAAAACTTCTGGCTGTGGTCCTGCACAAGGCAGCATGGGTCACGTGTTCCACAGCAACAATAACACCGGGCTGCCCACAGACGTGCCTGTCTGAAAATCGGCGTAGTGCACTCGGATATCGGCCGAGGCCGATACATTAAAAAATGCTAAATATCAGCCTGATATATCGGCCGGCCGATATATCGGTCGACCTCTAGTCTTAGGCCTCGCAAAATCATTTTAATTTAGTTATCGTCTCATTTTAGTTTGAAAATAAATGTTGTTGACAATAACTATGATGAAAATTTTTCGTCAACAAAATTAATATTGGTGGGCAGGTGACACACCAGCTGTGGTCTAGTGACCCACGTCCTGCTTACAGAGGAATCGAAGCATTACACTCATCTAAATCTGTTCCTCAGAGAATTGCAGTCAGGGTGGGTGATGGAAAGGTCCTTACAGATGACACTGCAGTTGTGACCCGCTGGGCCAGCTACATTGAGCAGCTGTTAAGGCTGACCCTCCAGCTAGGATGTTGGACGTCTATGGTTTTTGAAGCTGATCCTCCGATCAGCTGTGAACCACCCAATCTCACCGATATTGCACAGGTGGTGAATCAGCTGGGGGTAGGGAAGACCACATGGTTCTTTGGTATCTGGGGTGAACTTCTCCAGATTGGTGGTAAGGCTGTCCTCCTGGCATTGCAGGCAATCTTTGTTTCCATTTGGGAGTCAGGCGTCATCCCAACTGACTGAAAACGGGACTTGTAGGGAAGGGTGATCACCTGGATTGCGGCAACTACAGGGGGAAAACACTGCTTTCAGTGCCAGGTGAAGTCCTTGCTAGGGTCATCCTTAACGGGATCCATGATGACTTGCTTGCCTGTCAGCGGCTGGAGCAGTCTGGTTTTATGCATAAGAAGTCTACAATCGACCGTATCCTTCCACTGAGGGTTCTCATCAAGCGCAAGCGCAAATATCAGCTAAGGTTCTTTGTAGCCTTTGTCGATTTTCGTAAAGTATTCGACTCAGTTGATCAAGTTGCTCTGTGGGACATCCTGAGACTTCGCAGGATCCCTCCGAAGTTGCTGGATATCATGACCAGCCTATACACTGGTGTTATGAGTGCTGTGCAGAGTGGAGGGAGAACCCCTGCGTTCTTCCTAGCTGATTCTAGGGTTCGCCAGGGGTTTGTTCTTGGTCAAGCAGCTGTGGGGCGTCCGTTGGTGAAGATAGATTTACTGATCTTGACTTTGCCAACAATGCGGTGATCTTAGCAGAGTCTATTGAGGCTCTGATTAGGGCTCTCGAGAGACTGAGCGAGGAGTCTGAGTGTATGGGATTGTGGGTGTCCTGGATAAAGACTGTGCGGGACTTTTTCTTTGGCAGTATCTTTACTGTGTGGTAACTTCAGTTTGCCTGTGGCCTCCAAATCAATCTGCCGTGCTCTGAGTGATCTAAAACTGTTCATTTCTGAACGATAGATGATGCTCTGTCCACTTCAGATTGAATTTATGAAGGCACATATAATAATTAGCCGGTTAATGTTTACTTTTAATCATTAATCCATGTTCATATAACGTAGTTATAATTTAGTTATTGGCTTTCATGTTTCCGGTTGACTCATCCATCAATTCTAGAAATTGTAGAAGTTCGGGGTGTGGGAGGAGTATGGATTAGATGGGGGGAGGGGGTGATGGGGTTGTCCAGGAAATACAATGCTGCATCCTTGGGGTTTGCTTGGTTATTTGTTTTTATCTTTGATAGTTTGCTCGCTTTATTTTTTTTCTTTCACTTGTTGGGCCCTCCATTCAATGCAGGCTCCCTAACTTAGGCAAACTAAGGACTTAGGCACTAACGTTGAACTAAGAACATCATTAAATGTGGCATCAGGAAAAAACATGATTATGATTACTAGTGGAATAACCATCATGTTATGGGTTACAGTTTTATGCTTGTTATAGTTACAAGTGAAGTATTTAAATGTTTTTCCTTCCTTCTTCTGTGTTTAGATATTACTTTTGTGAAGGTTTCTAAAGTGACAGGCCGAGTGGAAGTCAATGATGTGCTGGCAGCCGTGCGTCCAAACACCTGCCTCATCTCAGTCATGCTGGCCAACAATGAGACAGGGGTCATCATGGTAAGGTCTATAAAAATGTTGGAAGATGTAAAAGGGCAAGGGAGAGGCATTGGTTAACTTAATATGCTTGCTCAATCCTAATTAAACAGCTGATATTCAATTTACTATGAGAAATTAACCTTTAAGATTATTAGTAAGTATTGTATGCAACCGTGTTCATTCTTAATTTGACTTTTTGAGACGATTTAGAGATGTTGATGAGATAAGGTTGATGTTGTTCAACCAACAGAACACCAGAAATCAACATACTGGGACCAGAAAGGACTGTAGGAAATTTAAACAATTCAGAGTCTGGTTTTGTTAGAACTACTTTCTTGTATTGTCTTTATTAGAGGTGTAAAGATGCATTGATGCATCATGATGAATTGTTTATTATAAAAATCAATGTTAGATATACAGATGCATGATATATTGATTAACATATCAGTTTCGGCCAGTAATTGTTAAAAATGTGTCAATTTTGACTGATATTTAAACTTTATCAATATTAGCAGCACCAGAGCTAAAGACACAACTACTAAAAAATGGAGGTGATTGCATTGGATGATCAGCAATTTTCTGTAGTGGTGTACGAGGGATTTCTTCTGCTCATTCATCATATAGAAGAGGTTTCAAAGAACTGCGTGGTAACATGTATATAATTCATTATTAAATGTGGCCCACAGATCAATCATTCAATTTCCAGAGATTAAAAAAAACAATGTAATGTCACTCTACTAATCTGCACCCCACCCCCAAATCAGACAGAACTTCCTTTATCTGTTTGTTTTTGCTCTGTGCGATGCAGTGTACAAACTGGCTTGTTGTCCCTGTTTAATAATAACAATACAATTTATGTTCTGAGATACTACTTTTTTGTATTCCATTAATACTGTGTAATTAAGTTCCCATGGTAATATTTGTGAAATTTTCCCCAATTTTTATTTATTTTATATATTGCAATTAGCGTGAGGGAGGAACCTACCCTGGACTGGGTGCCAGACCATTGCATGATGCGCACTCACTCACACACACATATGGTCAATTTAGGCACTCCAGTTCACTTAAGTTGCACTATTGAAGGAAACTAGATGATCTGGCATAAACCCACGCCAAGAACGTAAGAACTTATAAAGTGCCTACCGCAATACTATGCCTACACAATCTTGTGGCTAAGCAATGAGGCTAGCCTTCATTTTAGCTGCAATTTATCTTGATATGGAAAAGCAGAAAGGAAATTAAGCCAACTAAGTAAAAGCAAAGTAATGACAAAGACAGGCTAGGATACTCTAAGAAATTAAAGGGAATATAGCTTATCTATGTTCTAACTTCACAATTTGGTTGAGTTTGTCAACCTGAAAGTCTTCTGGAATGTCTACATTTACTTCACTTTTAAAGTGATGTGCTCCCACACAGCTGAAGCTTTCTCTCTTTATTTGGACCACCATCCCCATATTTCTGATTCAAGAAGGCAAATTTTAATCAATGCTTTTAAAAAATAGAGTAATCAGGTTTAATCAAGCAATTGTGGCAGCTCTAATCATAGACATTAAAGATTTCAGGTGCATTTAAACATTCCCTTGATAATTGTAAAGGAATCAACAATCGTAAATGAATCACACCCTGGTTTTTACACTAGATTTTTTCCCCCACCTCAATATGGGTGAGAGAGACACATCTGTGTTATTCATACTACTGGTGTTCATACTATCTTTGTAATTTGATTAATTAAAATCTTATTTTTTTTCAGCGAATTAAAGAGCTCTGTCAGAGAGTACAACTCCTTAACGTGCAGAGGTCTGGTCCGAGAATTCTTTTGCACTCTGACGGTGCACAAGCAGTTGGTAAAGTCAAGGTAGACGTGCAAGAACTTGGAGTGGATTACCTCACCATAGTGGGACACAAGGTTAGCAGTTTCCTGAGATCTTATAAAACCGTCATATAATATGTATACATTATTCTTCATGTGTTTTGATGATCCCTCATTCCCTATTCTTGTATACCTTTTTGTAGTTTTATGGCCCAAGAATTGGTGCGTTGTATGTAAACAAGCCTGGAAGCATAACTCCATTGTTCCCAATGTTCTTCGGAGGTGGACAAGAGAGGAACTTTAGACCTGGGTAATCTGTGGCAAATAACCGTTTTTACCCTGTCCTATGAGGTAACAGTGTGCTATATGTGAATTAAAATATTAATATCAACAACATTAATTACACATAAATATGGATCATCCTCCATTTGAAGTGAGAATTGAAGTGAATACATTTTTCAAAATCTGTTTCATTAATCACAGAAATAAACCGCCTTGATATGTATGTTAGTATTTGATTTTACAAAATGGCAAAATCAACAGAAATATTTACAAATCTTAATTCTATATTAATTAGCTTTTTAATTGTTCTGATCATTCATGGCATTAACATTAATCATTGGTGTTTCACATATGGTGTAACACTAGTGACATTCTGATTAAAATGTAATTTTTTGTTTTAATTGCTGTTGTATGATACTGTAATAATAATTGATACTTTATTGATCCCCATGGGGAAATTTGCTTTATACCTTCCCCATCTTGCTCTTTGTAGGCAAGAGTAAGCTGGCTGTGAAGAGCAGCCATCTATTGCAGTGCCAGGGAGCTGGGGGTTAACCCTTTCAGGCTCAAATTAAGTTTTAGTAACGACAGGACAACCAAGTCCTGCAGTGGTACTTCTGAGTAAAAAAAACTCATAAAATATGTATGTGGGGTAATAAGGTAGTTAGTTTTTAACTGTTGCAAATCAGCAACGCCTGCCTTGAGAGGGTTAAGGGCCTTGGTCAAGGACCCGCAGACGTGCCTAAGCTGGGTCTAAACTGGTGACCTTCTGATCACAGGCACACAGGCTTAGCCCACTGAGCCACGTGCTGCCCCATGAGGATTCACAGTGCATAACAGTAGTGATGTGTAGAAATTGTGTGCTGCCCGAGAAACAAAATTATCAATGAATTCATTAAATATAATGAGCTAGTACAGACTTGCCTTCTCTTTCTTTGGCATTCTTCCTTTGTGATGACTCTTGGCCGTAGGAAGCAGTTTAAAGTACAATTTTAAAAAGAAAAAGATTCCAGTGATTCCGTTAGTTATAGTGAAAATAACTCTCCTTGTCTCCTCTCTCTCGTCTCCCTCACACCATGCATGATTCTTTTCAAAGGTAAAGTGCAGGTTAATTTATATTTTGTATTAATCATTTTATATGAATATTTTTGGGTTGTGGAACGAATCATCTGAGTTTCCATTATTTCTAATAGGAAAATTCGCTTTGATATATGAGTGTTTTGGGTTACGAGCACGTTTCCGGACAAATTATGCTCACAGTCTGAGGTTTTACTGTATAGCAATTTGAAATATGATGAAAATAGAAAAGTCATGAGGGAAATGTGTTATTTCATCATACACCAGCTGTGTGAATGCTGACTCTTGGAGCTGTGCCTTATATTTTAAGTAGGTTTTTTAAGCACTGCAACCTCTGTGACATGGTTTCCCAGTCCAAATGAAGATTAGCCCATATACTACATACACTTAGGTCCATAATAAATTATGATATGATTGAAGCTGTAATTCAAGGGGTTTCACAAAAATATTGTATGTGCCACTTTACTGACATTTTTATACATGATTCCCCTCTATCTTCACTTTTTTATACATAGTCTTCATTTCACTTGCTGAAGACAAAACTGAAGACAGAAATATCAATGAACAAGCATCAACTTAAGACAGGGGCAATAACGGCCTGGCAAGGCGTTACTAAGGGAAGCGACCCAGTATTTGGTGATGTCCATGGGTTCCACACTTCAGGTTGTAAGTGACTGCAAAGGATTTTCAACCAAATATTAAAAATTATTTTATTTATGATTATGATTACATTTGAGCCCCTGAAAATGGTTGGAATTCTTAAACAGCTCATATGATCTTTTTATTAAACCCCTTGCATTAAAGCTGAAAGTCTACACTTCCATCATCATCTTGACTGTTCAATTTAAAAACAATTGTAGTGATGTAACAATCGATTGCAGCATGTATCACTTTTAAAGGTAATTGCATACATGCTTGACAGTTATATGCATCCCTGGGTATTAGCATGATTCGTAATTCATCCATGAATGCATCTCCAAATATGGCCCGTTTGTTAACTGGAACACACAAAGGGTTCGTCTTGGACCACTGAAGTTGTTGGCAGATGTACTCAAATCACTCGTGGGATACTTGGACCGTCATCCACTAATCAAGAAGGAAAATTTTTATCATTGTTTTTAAAAAATTGAGTAATCATGACAGCTCTAGTACAGTCATTGCATGACTTAATAAATTTTGCTAAATTAAATGCTATACTTTTTATTCCTAGGACAGAGAACACTCCAATGATTGCTGGTCTTGGAAAGGTAATGAATAACTATTATGAGAAGTGTTTATATTGATAAAGCCTTTAGCCAAATACAGTGGTGTGAAAAAGTGTTTGCCCCTTTCCTGATTTCTTATTTTTTTGTATGTCACACATAAATGTTTCTGGTCATCAAACAAATTTAAATATTAGACAAAGATGACACAAGTAAACAGAAAATGCAGTTTTTAAATGAAGGTGTTCATTATTAAGGGAAAAAACATCCAAAGTGATTGCTCCTGTTAAAACTGAACTGTGGTGTATTTGAAAGAAAATCACTTAAATAGATTAACATTCATGGGTTAGCTGAACTGAACTGTTTTTCCCTGGGGCAGTGGTCAGGCTGTGACCAGTGGTTCAGAAACGTGTATTTAGAGCAAATCAGCATAAGTTTCAGTCTCTTATGTCTTCCAGGCAGCAGAGCTGGTGAACCTGCATCTTCCAGAGTATGAGGCCCACCTGTGTGATATTAAAAAGTACTTAGAGCAGCGGCTGCAGGTCAGTACTGCTGTCACAGATCCCAGAATGCTAAATTCATTGTTTTTTGTAATATGCATTTTGAATTTGTCATTTTTTGTTTATGTAAACATTATGATTGTCGAGTCATTATTTGTACAAATTCTTCTCTTTTTCTTTATCCTCAGACTGTATTTGGGAAGGAGAAGATCCACTTCAACAGCCATTTTCCTGGTTCGGAGACTCTCCCAAACACTTGTAATGTGTCACTGCTCGGTCCAGGCTTAGAAGGTATATAACCTACAGTTAGCTTAATACACCAATAATTATAATTGTTGATTGCAATATTCTAGGTATAGGTTATGCATACACAAGTAATTAACAGATTAATAGTGGTTAAGACATCATGTTCTTAATTTATACCTTTAACTTAACTTCTGTGTTGTGCTTCTGCAGGTTGGAAGGTGCTTTCCAGCTGTAGGTGGCTTCTGGCGAGTGTGGGGGCTGCATGCCATTCTGATAAAGTGGAAAGGTAACTATTGAAATGGAAAGTGAAAATCGCCCCCCCCCATATACACTCACCTAAAGGATTATTAGGAACACCATACTAATACGGTGTTTGACCGCCTTTCACCTTCAGAACTGCCTTAATTCTACGTGGCATTGATTCAACAAGGTGCTGAAAGCATTCTTTAGAAATGTTGGCCCATATTGATAGGATAG